TTTTTCCTCCTGACTGAGCCACCAGTATTTATCTCTGGAGAGTTTGTGCTGAGCTGGTTTCTGCTAATTTAGTGATGAAGCCTATCCAAGTTGGTGATAGCTTATTATTTTCATAAGTAAAAAAATGAGATTATATATATATATATATATAAATATATATATTAAAAAAGACACAGTATTTATCGTAGTGTTAGTGGTCCAGCACCTCTTGGGTGAGGCTGTCCAGACACCATATGTTTTCGAGTCCAACTCATTAAAAAAGAATCATCTCTGTAACCTCAGCCAAGTGATTTATATTTCAGGCTTCCTTTTGTTGAGCTACAGGCCCAGCTGCAGCCTAGGGAAGCCCAATAGGCTTGTGGGGGGGGGGGCACATTTAGTGGGGAAGGAAGGCTAAGCTGGTTTGCAGATTCCAAGAGGTGGGTCCCCAGGCTCATGAGAGTCAGACTGAGCAGAGAACTGTAGGGCCGGGGGGGTCCAGAAAAGAGAGGATTTGACCCAGGGCCTCACAGCAAAGCAACGGAGTAGTGTCCTTGGCCAGCACGCTATCTACCATTCTGCCCTGCCTTTCACTGCCTGCCTTGCACCTCCCTCCCCTTTTCAACATCCTGCCTTCACTTGTTAAGATGGCCAAATAAGTCATTTACTCTAAATTGATTGTCTGGAAACTACCTGCCTTCGACCTGAGAGCTGCTGTGTATCAGGCTGCAGGGAGGAAGTCTCCATTCCCAGGACAGAGGCCCTTGAGTACAGGGGCTGCCTTCTTCCTGCCTGGATCTCCACTGGCTCTGCACAGCTCTGATGGAATCGATGCTTTCTTTTGAGAAGCCAGGACCTTGTGGAGGCAGATTCTTGGGCTGCCGGTCGCTGGAGTGGATGGAACCCTTGAACTCCTAGGCTAGGCCTCACTGCAGCTGTGCTGTTTGACCCCAGCCACTCTTAGGAAAGACTGTTATGAGTATTTGCTGGCCAGAGGAAGGGACCTCATTGGCTTAACAAATGCCCTACCAGCCCTGTCAGATGGATCCTTACAGCTGGTGGGAGCAAAAACAGCCCTGGTACTGCCATCAGGAAATCAGGAGAGGAAGGGCTAAGATGGTTTCCAGGACTTGGGTGGGCCATCTGTGGTGAGGACCGACAGCCCAGGAAGAAGAAAGGGAGGCGGTCTACTCAAAGGAGCACCAGGAGGAACTGGGATTTCCCCACCTGCTTCACAGTGGGAGGGAGCACACAAGCAGCCCCTGCAAAGGAACAAGGTCAAAAGTTGGATTTCCAGTCCCTACCTGGATCTGTCATGGGAAAGCTTCTGCTCTTTGTCAGTGGACACAGGGATGGTTGGGATGGCCTGAGATATTCAGTGCCCACCCATTTCTGGGCCTACAGCTGAACAACAAGAGAAATGATTGAATTGAACCAGCTGCTGGTGATGGGGTCAGGACTCCTGCCCTGTGCTGTCTTAAAAAGTTCTGCTTTGAGACATGATCCTGTAGGCTGCTGTTTCTTCTTGGTCCTCACCAAGGCAGCTGGCAGCCCACAGCCCATAGCCTATCAGGGAGTTTTCCTGTCTATAAAGGAAATTCATCCTTTGCAGGGCTGAGGATGCTTGACTCCCAAACCCAGAGGTTGGAAATCAGTCTGTTAAAATGGCCAGAGCCAAGCAGGTATTGGAATTAAAACCAGAGGCTTTTGCAGCTGGAATGGGGTACAGAGTACATCTGCTCCACCAATCCTCTTCTTTTACAGATAAGGAAACAGGTCCAGGAGGTTAAGTGACTTGGCCAAAGTCACATAGCAGATTTGTGCCAGAGTTGGGACTAACCTGTGGGTTGGATAACACTAGTCCTAAAGCTGAATGGCAGGCAAGGGGTTAGGCTCAGCAGTGTTAGGGAGTCCTCCAACAGTGTCTGAGCAGCTGGTACTTTCAGGGGTATGTCAGGGATGGGGATAGGTGCCTGGGCTTGGGTTGTGGAGCATCTGAGAGAGGGCCCAGGAGGGCTCGGGACAGCTGTGTGCTGCGTGGGGTTGAGTGTCCGCCTGGCTTGCACTCAGTATCCATGGCCATCTCCCCATTTTCTGTGCCTTATCTCACTGTTTCAGCTGAGTCCAAGTTGTTTACTCTGTTCCTCTCCAGAGGGGCTCTCTGTCCCAGTTGGACAGCTTACTTTGGGACATAAGCCTTTGCCCCACAAGCCGTGGAGAGGACCAAAACCAAGCTGCTTGAGCCCACTGTCTTGCTAATAGTCCAGGCCTGCCTGCCAGCCAGAGGAGCCCCTTATGCATACCCAGCCCTATCAGCCTGCTTCCAGGAGCTGAGTGGGGAAGGCAGCTGGGAGGGTCCCTGGTGAAGAACTGGACTTGACCCAACGGGTCAGGAGGAAGACAGCCCTGTTGGGGTTGTCCAGTTCTGGGAGAGCAGTCTTCCTTAGTTACCTTTTCCCTTTGCGCCACCAAATGATTGCTCCTTCAGTGGATGTGAATTGGCAGACCACACAAAGAAAGCCAGAACCCTGATCCTCGCCTGCATGGGACTGTGGCTGGGTGCAGGCCTTCAAAAATGGGACACCAAGAGATTGAGAAGTGGGGACTGCCTGGCTACCCAGCTCCTTCCTACCCCTTAAGCAAGCACAAAGAAGATGAGGCAGAGAACTGTCAGAGCTGAAAGTTCCTATGGTTGCTCACAACTCAGGTATGCACGCTGTTGGCAGCTGAGCAGCAGAGCCCTACTTGACCACCAGTCCTGTGCACCCAGACCTGTGGCCAGATTGTGGACTCTAGTTGCCTGAGGTGCCGCCTTTTTGCATAGGGTTTTCCTCCATTAGTAACTACAGCTGACACAGACGTCCTCCACATTGTGCACACTGGTTCTGCCTTTGTCCTCGCAAGTTGATACTTGGCATTAGCATGAAACTTGTGGGTGTGGGAGGGTTTAGAGAGAATTCTAACACAAAACATCCTATTAAATTGTACTTGAGAAATGAAAAAACTCCTGTTGTATTTTGACAGAATTATTTTTATTAAAATACACATCCATGAGCAGTCAGGCGTGTGTGGTCTCTGTTTGAGTCTTACTGGGGCTGGCACCCCTTGTGTGGCATACAGTGTCCTAGAGGGTTTGGCCTCTTTTCAGCCCACATCTCAGGTGCCTACGTCCCTGGTGCCTCAAGGACTCTCAAGAATGGGTGTTTTCAAGATCCCAGAGAGGATAGATACTTCAGCTTTAATTCTCTCCCAAAACAGCTTTCATCTGAGAGAGAGAAAAAGCAAATTCAACTTCAGAAAGTTGGGCCACAGGACCTCGTATCCTCTAAGATTTTAATACATTCCAAATATGTTTACCACAAACACGAGGTAGTAAGTAAAATAGAGCTCTTCTGAGGGGTATTGCAGTTAGCTTCCTGTGAAACAGGAGAAAGAGTTGTGCCCCAAATCCTAGTTCGGTTTACTAACTGGGTAACCCTGGAAAATTAACTTTCTCAGCTTCAGTTTCCCCATCCTTAAAATATGGTTAATTCTTCTACCCCGTGGTGAGAAGATTCTAGCAGGCATAGGGCATCCTTGGCACATAGGGATGCAGTACAGGTGACCAACTGCCCTGCCTCCATGAGGATGCTCCTTAGGGTTATTGGCCTGCTCCAGCCTCATTCTACTTCCTCTGCTCCCAGAGTATCAGGGTTTGATGCAAAAGAGGCATACAGTAGCTTATGCTGAACTGGAAACATTGGGGGCAAAAAAATGAACTATAAGGCTACTGCAGTAGGCCAGACACGAGAACAGGTTTGAGAAAAGTACTAAAGTACAAATGTCCTGATTCCATAAGTAAAGCTAGAGTAGATTAATTTCCCTCTAGACTAGTGGTACTCAACCTGGACCGTTTTTGCCCCAAAGGGGATATTTGGCAATGTCTTGAGATATTTTTGGTAGTCACAGCTGGAGTTGGGTGCTACTGGTATCTAGTGGGGAGCATTCAGGGATGCCGATAAACATCCTACAATGTACAGACAGATCCCCCACAACAAAGAATTATCAGGCCCAGAATGTCAACAGTGCTGCTGTTGAGAAATCCTGCTCTAGAGTGAAATTTTGAACAATGACTAAGACAAATAGATCAAACATAAGCACACTTTGATTCTGCTTCCTTTGTGCCTGGCTGTTCAGAACCCAGGGGAAGGAATAAAGGCATAAAATCCCATCAGAAAAAGAGGTTTTGAGGTTACAATTTTTCATCACTGGAAGCCTTCCATGCTCACACAGCTAGCGACAGTGGTGGGAAGTCCTGTCACTTTACCAAAGCAGGGATAGCCCTGCTGGTCAGCTGGTCTCAGTGGGAACAACTGCCTCAGTTTAACTGACATGCTCTATCTTTAAAGGCCGCTCTGGAAAGAGGACCAGCTGAACAGGGTCTCAGACTCACCAGGAGAGTAAAGCAAGCAGGGGTTGGGGCTTCCCATGCAGAAATAACGTCTAATCCCACATTTCCAACTTAGCCTGTTTTACACTAAGATTTACAGGTTTCACTACTCTAGCGGATTTGATGAATCAAAGAGTAATCTTATTACAAAACGGTATTTGGGGGGGGTGGGGTGCATAAGTTCCAGTAAAGAGATCAGGGGGACTGAGGTCAGTCCTGAAGAGTACTAATATCTAAAAAACAACCAAAGGACGTCTAGGAAGCCGTGAAGTACGGCGAGTTCGAGAGAACTGCTGTTCTGCAAAGACTGGCAGTGTCCAACAGCAGGTTCATTCCTGGACAACCGAAAACCACCACAGTTCCCAGAACCTCTTTGATCTTGACGCGGGCGGCGAACCTGAAAGGGTCCAAGGCTGGAAAAAAAATTAAGTGTCTCTACGGCCGGAAACGAATGACTAAGGCCTCCAGCCAAGGTATTTCTCCTCCTCCTCCACGCCTCCTCCCCAACACCGAGCGAGCATGCGCAGCTCCGGGTTACGGCTCCTCCCAGCGCGGGTCCACCCCCGTCAGAGAGCATGCGCAGATCTCCCTCCGTCCCACCCCTCCTTTTCCAGGGCTCCCGGTTCCTTAGAAACCAGCCGGCGCGCTCTCCGTAGCCGCGCGGTGGACTCCGCGGCCGGTGAGTCCCTGCCAGCCTCCCTCGCGGGGTGGGGGGCTGGTGTCTGCTGAGACCGTCCGGACCCAAGGTCTCCGGTGCGGAGTGGGGCGGGCAATGCCAGGGTGCCAGGTGAGAGGCGGCGCGCGGCTGTGGGTGAGGATGGAGGAGGGCATGGCGCGGCTGCGAGCGGGCGTCGGCCGGGCCTCTTCCGCGGCCTGGCGTCCGAGGTCGGAGGCCGGGATACACAGAATCGGGGCTGGACGGGGTCGTTCTCACTGCGAGTACCTGCGCGGAGCTCGAGGGTCGTCCCGGAGTTCGCCCTCCCCACCTCAGAAATGGGACCTGCAAGTTTGATTGTAAAATTGTAGAATTTTGGCTCCCGGAGGGACCTTGGCCCTAACCCCATCCCTTTACTGGACGCGGAAACCTAGGCTTCCCCGCCCTGTGCGGGCGGACCCACCTACCTGTGTCAGGGCCGAGGCTTTGTGGATAAGGATGTGAGGTATGGGAGCCTCAGACAAAGGGCTTGGAGGTAGCTGATCCACCCTCTTTCAGAGTGAGTTGGAACTCGGGGCGGGGGGTTGTAAATCTTTATTTAAGGGAAGAGTGTTTAGGTGGCAGGTAAGAGAAGAAGAGGGGCCCCAGGAGGTGCGGGTGGCTCTGCCAGCCCCAGAGTGCCTGCTGGCGACGTCTCGAGGGCCCTGGCCTACCTTTGAAGCTCAGGAAGGAAGCAGATGGACCTGCGGAAACAAAGGTGAGGTAAGGTATTCCCATCAAGGAGGCCTTGTCAGATGAATGGTGAGAAAGGAAGAGGGGGCGGGGGGATCAGGACTTAATGAATGGTCATGTGAAGTGTACCTACCAAACTACTGCAGAATCTGAAGAACAGGACAGGAATAGAAAAGTTCAGAGCTGCCTTGGATGGACACCAAGTAAGGTTATAAACTATCTTATTTATGTTCTTTGTCCCCATAATGTTATACTGAGGGCAAGACACAGGAAGAAAGTGGGTGCCCTTTGAGTGTCCAGAACCAGGGCCAGGCACCTCCCAGAGGACCTTTGTAAGCTATGGGCACAAAAGTGTCAGAAGGAAGAGCCCTTAGTGTATGACCCTACACTTGAAGGAGACAACTGTTAAATTAGAAAAGACACTTAACCTGTTACTCTGATATGAAGAGATATGGAGAAGATAGTTGTCTTTAAGAGTTGTGGAAGCTAGATTCATTCTTGATAAGGAAACTCATTTCCTTCCGAAAAGCTACACAAGAGTTTTAAGAAAATGTGAAAAAAAATTACTGCCTTTGGACTAGGAGTTTAGAGAATCTCTCTGGACCAAGAGGTGAAAATTTTCAGCGGACGGTTCTGTTAGTGGACTCCTCATTTTACATATAAAGATTCAGTTGTGAGAGGCTTTCTCTTACCACTTGGTTGCCCTACTTTTCCTATGTAATGATTGATCTGGGTCTGATCAGTTATTTTTATTTGCTAGGAAAATTCAGATATAAGATTTCTATAGTAGTACTAGAACCCACTAGTAGTAGGATTAGCATGGAAAAAAAATCCCCACCCAGGCTCTGTTGGTTGAGCATAGTCCCGTGCTCCAGGAGGTCCCGGGTTGGATTCCCCTCAGAGGTGTGCAGGAGGTGGCCCATTGATGTTTCTCTCTCATGGATGTTTCTCTCTCTCCCTCTTCCTTGTTTCTCTAAAATTAATAAAAATAAAATTAGAATTAAAAAGCCCTCCCCCCCAAGAAGCTTAAATATCTGTAATATGGGGGGGTGGGGGGTGATTTTTAAAAGATGGTCACTCATTCTAATCATCAAAGTCAATTTATTGCTAGCTTAATAAAACTAATTTTTAGTGTATATTCAACTTTGCAGCAGTTTTTTTTTTTTTTCCCACTCCCAGAGTGATAAGAGAAGACACATTGAAAGTATGATAATGTTAATAGGTCATATTAGTTGAAGGAAAAACATTTTAGGTTCACAAGTCAGTGCCAGACCATAACTATGGATATTGTGGCTGTGAATTTATTTTAATTAAAATATAGTTAATATGCAATATTATATTAGTTTCAGGTGTACAACATAGTTATTCAACATTGCATGGCTATGCATTTTCTTGACTTTTCTTGCACCTGTGGAAATATTTTGTATAAATACCTCAAGAGATACAATGAGGTATTATCAGAAGGGTATGTAATCTGTGGGGAAAATTAGAACTGTTAACCTAATCCTGTCAGAGAAATTTTATGAAAGTCATTGTATTCTATGTAGAAATCCTCGTTAATTTATCATTAGCCCAGATGAAGACAGACAAATAAGGTCAAAATCAAGGTAAGATTGACGGGAAGCAATCAGTTACCATCCCCAGAGCATGATGGGGTGTGAGAGCATGCTTTGAATGTAAGTGCAAATACTACCTTGAATGAGCAGTTGGAGAAGATACTATTTAAATGTAGTGAGTGTGCCCCATGGATTTGTTTGCAATTTTTGAGCTCCTATAATCAGAAAGACACTTTTTCAGAAGAGAAAGATGGACTTACAGACTCTCAAAGTGTTTCTTCATTGCTGTGGCAATGAAACCTTTGACAAATAATTACTTAACATCCACTCTACTTTCTGGGGCAGCTAAGGACAGTTATCAAATCTGGCCTGTAATAAAGTGATCAACAGTATTTAGTAGGCCAAGGTACTAGATAAACCAGTAATGTTAACAGGATTTACTTTCACTGAACTGATTTTCTAGTATACAGTAAGAGGAGAAATGAAATGGGAATGCATTGCCATCTGATGTAAAAAGTTGTAATACAGACGTCAGCATTTAGAAAATAAGGAATCAAACAGAAACCTTAGAAGTAGAAGAGCCTTTCTGATGCCTGACAAGTCACTCATGCGTATTTATAGTAGAAGGTGGAATTCTAGATTAAATCCACCATTGGAATTGGACAACATCTAGGAAAAAATAGGGGATTTTGCTCTTTTTGAAAATTTATATACAGTATAGTAATGGGACATTATTTTTCTTACATACAAGAGTAGCAGCTTTATTAGAAAACTTCAAGAGAGCCTAAAAGTCCACATTATTTGCAAATTTAGGTGTCAGATGTTTTAAAAAGTAGGGAATGAAAGATACTTGAAATAGGCTTGGACTCATGAAAGTCAGAATAAGTGTGTGTGTTATATGCCATTGAGTCAGCTCCGACTCCTGAGGACTCTGTGAATGAGTGATGTCCACAATGTCCTGTCCTCAACAGCCCTGCTCAGCTCCTGTAGACTCAAGCCTGTGGCTGCTTTTATGGAGCCAATCCATCTCATGTTTGGTCTTCCTCTTTTCCTGCTACCTTCTATTTTTCCCAGCATCATTGTCTTTTCCAAAGAATCCTGCCTTCTCATGATGTGCCCAAAGTAGAACAGCTTCAGGTTGTGTCATTTTTGCTTCCAGTGATGTTTAAGCGACACTGAGAAAAACATGAAAGCAATAAGACTTCCCTACACTCTAACACTCACTTATGAATTAGCCATTAGGTCAGGAATGAACTCAATAAAGTATTCTTTCCTTAAACTGAGACAAAGGGAATGAGAAATGGAGTAAATATTTCCATTTCATGGTGATGGAAATGAACACTTAGAAAATAGTCATTAAATATTAAGAAGGAAGAGATAAATATTCCTGCATTACTTAAATACACTCAAACTGTCTTAAATACTTGTTCCTGCTCTTAGAAGGGGTGTAGCAAGTAGTGCTTTTTCCTAGATACTCTCAGTTCTCAAGGTAGCCAGGAATGCTGAGAGGATAGCTCACTCTCCCCCACACGTCTTCAAGTTATTCCCCAAAACTCTTCTGTAAGTGTTTCTATTTGTCCTTCAGAAGGATTAGGAGTGAAGGCTGTGAGGAATGGGAACCAAGTACTGAGCACAGTCTTCCTTTCTGGCCTGGAATAACTGTGCTACTCTCAAACTGTCAGCTCTCAATTTTTCATGAGACTAGATAACCCCAAAATAGAACGAGAAACACTCTACTTGGCTTTGAGATTTACCATATCACTTTACAACCTCAAAGTCTTTATTATTTATTTTTACAATTGTATTTTGCGTAGAATGATAATGTTAGGTAAATCATATAACTTTTGGACCATAATTTTTTAAACTGTATAATTTAAAAACTAAACTAAAAAATGACATAAATGTCTGACACCAGAGAAGAGAAAAGCTGGTTCATGTAGTCAGTGGAATATCATGTAACCCTTAAAAATTGTCTGATACCATGAAAATTGCTTATGTCTAAACAGTAAATGAAAAAAACTCAGGATACAAAGTTGTGACTACATACTTGATCACAAGAACATTGAACAAACGTAAAAATTTTTTAAAAAAGAACATAACAGTAATTTTCTATAAGAAATATATACTTTTTAAAATGGGATGTTAACTAGGTTTATTGTGGCAATCATTTTGCAATATATACAATATAGAATCATGTTATGCACCTGAAACTAATGTTATGTCGGTTATACCTCAAAATAAAAAATTAAAATAAAAAATTTGAAAGTGTATTTCCCACCTTCCAAGACAAACAAACAACCCCCCCTAAAAGTTTCTTCTTGCTTGTGTAAAGAATGATATTGAACTTGTTTTCTCTTTGCCGGCCCTTCACCCCTCTGGCTTTATTGACCATGTTAAAAGTGCTGGGGGTGGGTCGCCCTGGCCGGTGGGGCTCAACTGGTTGAGCATTCTCCTGTGCACCAAAAGGTTACTGGCTTGATTCCTGGTCAGAGCACATGCTCAGGTTGTGGGTTCAATCCCTGGTTGGGTTGCATGCAGAGAGAGGATGGCCCATCGGTGGTTCTCACATCGATGTTCCTCTCCTCCCCCAATCCTCTCTCTAAGCATGTCCTCAGGTGAGGATTAAAAATAAAAAACAAAAACAAAACAAACAACAACAATACATATACACATATACACACACACACATATATGTATATATATATATTTTTAAGTGGAGGGTGGGGGGAATAATGG